TCAGCAGTATGATTTGGAATACTGTTGATTAAATTCATGAAAATCTATGCATCTAGCCTTTTCTATTCCTCTAAAAGTATTGTCTTCAATTTTTCATATATTCTTGGGGTGGTCTTTATTGCTGTATTCTACATATGTATCTTTTAGTATATTCTGTATATGCTTTTTGTGTAACTAGACTATACTTTCTAAGAGTACTGTATATACACATATTCGTAAAGTACTCGTACTATATTATATTATAGTATAATAGTACTGTATTATATTATAATATTTATTATAGCATTACGGCATTATAGCATTATAAAATTATAGCATTATAGAATTACGATATTACAGCATTACAGCATTGCGGCATTGTGGTATTATAGCATATAATATTTACAGCAATCAGATACTGTATTATAATTAATTCTACCAACTAGTAAAATGCTGTAATGCTGTAATGCTATAATTCAGTAATTCTACTACCAACTATATCGTAAACTACAATTTAAAATGAATGATTATAATTTGTATAGAGCAGCGAAAACAAAAGCTACAGTGCTTTTTAGTGAGCTAAAAAATAGTTCTAATAATGCTGATGTTAGTTCTAATAATACTGATATTACTTCACATACAAGGTTATATTCTTAATAAATTATATATATTATTCGTGAATTTGATTCCAACTATTTTGCTTTTTTTAAGCAGGATAGATTTTCTGATACAGTTATTGAAGTTGCTGCAAAAACCTTTAAAGCAAATTCTCTATTACTTTGTGCACATTCAGGTTTTTTTAATAGAAAAATTCTTGCAAAAAAACAAATCATTTTACAAAATTATGATCCCAGATATTACTTCTAAAAGGTTTGATATTTTATTAAGGTAATGATTAAAACTATTTTAAAGTACAATAGAAATTTTTACTTATTATTATACACTATATTACAATATATAAATATATGTATAGTGGTGTAATACCTTTGAAAAATTTGCAATTTTCAGAAATTTTCGATCTTTATCAGGCTGCAATCAAACTTGAATTAGATGAAATATTGGAGTATATTATATTATCTTTACATATTGAATAGAAGAGATCTTAAATTTATCATTATTATATTTAAATAATTTTAATAATATATTATTAAAATTATTGTTTATTTGAATAAATAATGCTTATTATATAATTGCTCTACTGTATATATATTAGTTTGTTTTATTACGTAGTTAATTTAAAATTTTGTCAATCAATTTGTTAAAAAATTTATAGTAGTAAAAACTATGTATTTTTAAAATGTTAT